ATTATTATTACGATATTGAATATTATGGAGGATCTTTTACCTTGCGCTATTTAATAGTGTATTTTAAATGTGTCTATATGGATATCATAAATATTGCATCATTTTAAATAGTAATGTGTCCACGCACTATTTAATAGTGTATTTTAAATGTGTCTATATGGATATCATAAATATTGCATCATTTTAAATAGTAATGTGTCCACGTTGGTACATATATACCTTTTAAAATACATTTAAATAGTGCAGAGGGTTAAAGTTTGGTATTGTAAACGATAATTCTAGCCAAAGTTAAAATATTTTTTAGACCTTTTTTTTTTCTAGCGAACTATGTATACATATGAGTATTAATATTTATTATTCATTTATTTATTCAGTATTTTTTATTTATTATTCATTTATTTGTATTAATATTAATAATAATGATGATGCAAGGAATTAAAGAAGATATTTGATACATGCACTCATGTCTCACAATAAAGTATGTAATAAGTATAATTGGAATGATTAAAAATATAGAAGAAAAGGTACACAAAGCATATATTTTATAATTTATAATATAGTATGTTATAAGAGGTATCATTATTTATTTTTTGAAATGATTAAAATATATTTTTTTTTACTTGATTTTTTAAATTATGAATTATAATGAAATAGTGGATGGTGTGGCCAACATTATCAAATACAATGAAATGCGCTACTTAAAAGTAGTATAGGTTGGCCACCTTTCATTTTCTTTATTAAAATTTATAATATTTTGATTAATTAATTAATTAAATAAACAAATAAATATAAATTCAACCTTTATAAAAAATAAAATATTGATGTTTCCCACCAGAAAGAAATTGATTGATCTATATCTAGATCAAACAAATTAAATCAAAACCAAATCAAGAAAGGAATAATAAGAAATTTAAAATATTTAAAATCTTTTTTTTTCCCTGAAAATTTGTTAAAACAAATTAATTGTGTTCATTTAAAGCTCATCAAGGAAAATAATTGATGAAATTAAAGTGAATACAACCAAATTTTGTACAGTATTATTTTTGATGAATGTAACTTTATTTGTTGTACTAATTTAGGAGTATGTTCGTTGGGACGCTTAAATGATTTTGTGTTATTTACGTTATAAAGTGCATTTTAAAATTTAAATTTTATATAATTTTAAAGTTTTTAATATTAAATTTATTATATTTTTAAATTATAAACTCAATTTATTTCATATTTATTATTATTATTTTAGTGAATTTGACACGTGAAGTAATATAATGCACTAGATAAAAGATATTTATTCTGTTTAATATAGAGGTGTGCACTATTCGGATTAAACAGAATAACCAAATCAAATCAAATCGAATATTTATTTGGATTGATTTTTGGTTTTCCAAATTGGTTTTGAAGTAATAAATTACTTTATTTTTTTGGTTTGATTTTGGATATTAAAAAATAAGAACTAAAAAACCGAATTATAATATATATATATATATCACTTTTGTCTCTTTTTAGTTATTGTCTTTCATAATGATTACGTTTGAATTTTATGTTTAATAATACATATACTTATACAAAATTAAAGATCAAAAAATTTTAAATCAAATAATGTAAAATCAAACCAACAAAACGAATGCACACCTCTTATTGAATATGATATCACAACATGATCATATGGAAAAGAAAACAATGTAAGAGAAATGGAAGGTTTTATGTATTGCCACTTTTAAAAAAGGTTTATTTAGCATTATTTTAACGGAAAATTGTTAAAATTGTCTTTAAACTATACGAAATAGATTATTTATATCCTTTATTATATTTTGGGATAAAAAATATCCCCGTTGTTATCCTAGGATACCACAAATATCCTCAAGAGTTAATATCTCAATTTTTAGTGATGTATCATGCCACATGGGACTAATCCCTCCACCTAACCGCTGTCAACTAACATTCACTTCAAAAGAACTTAATCTTTAGTGACGACAAAGTTGCCATAAAATCTCAAAATATTGCCACTAAAAGTTATGAGTGATTTTTAGTGACGACTAATAGTAAAACCTATTTTTCAATCAAAAAATATGATAATTAATTTTCGATGGCAACCTAATTTTCTAAAATAAATAACT